TGAACATGGCTGGGGGTGGGCTGCAAGATGCACCCCGCTGGTGTCAGGCTTCCTGGCCTGGCTCCCAGGGATATCTAGGGAACAGACTGCTCAGTTCAGGAATGTCCCTGGTTCGGTTCTAGTGAGCCTGCAATAAGTGGGGCAATCCGTGGGGTCACGTTCAGGCCTGAACAGACTTTGTACTGGAGCCCCACCATCGTGGGGTGCTTGGGTAAGCCTGCTCCTGCTCTGCCAGGGGTGACCCCTGGCCCAGCTCCAGGCCGAGGTGTTTCAGGTCACCGGAAATCTGAAGTGACCTTTATTCTCTCAGATAGTACCCCACCCACCAGCCATCAGGTGAGGATGTTGAGATCTGGAAACTACCTGGTTTACTGTCCCCGGGGGTGTGGCTGAACTCTCTGCCAGGAATCCTGAGTGTCAGTTGCTTAGATCCGCCCACCTGGAGCCTGGCCGAGCTGCAGAGTGCACGTTAGGCCAGCAGCTCCTTTCCCCTGACGATACACCTGAATCAAGCAGGCGTCAGGTTTTACAGTGGAGAAGCACACGGGCACACCTGTCCACGGTGGGCAGACTGAGCGGACAGCCCCCACTAGCAGATGCCTGGTCCTGCACATTGGTTTTCCCCTTAATCTGAGCAATCTACTGTGGATATGGGCAATATGGCGCTTGTGCATCTATGAAAAACGTGCAGCAGAAAGTCGGGAAAACTCTAAGTGCTTAGTAACTGTGACCTGCTGCTACTCTCATCACCATCATCACCATTATCATCATCATCACTACCATCATCATCATCATCACCATCATCACTGCGATGTGTCTCTCTCCTCTTTGCTGTCCTCGCACTTAGCACAACACTTGGCATCAACAATGACATTTGATGACTTTTAATAGAAGACGAGAGTACTCCCTGCTGCCCTCTCTGCCTCCTGGGACTGGCGAGGCAAAGGCTTGCCCTCTTCCTCCTTGAAATATGTGTTTCCAAGTAAACCTATTCCTTAGCAATATTTCTAGATACATCTTCAGTCCCTCCTCATCTTTTCCACCTGGCAGCCCCAATCCCTCTCTTGCTCATCACCCTGCTTGATTTTCTTCATTACACATATGACTCCCTGAAATTCCCCCTTTTTATCTACTTATTGGGATATTTTTGTCTCTCCCTCCCTCCCTGGCCTGCACATCCACCCACTGTGACTAGGACATTAGGCCCTCCTTGTCTATCTTATCGACAGCAGCATCTTAACACCCAGGACTTTGCCTAGAGGTGAACTCAACAATGAATGTTGAACAAATGAATCAACACAGTAACCCCCACTGAGTACCCCTCCACTCCACACACCGACCCCCACCCCCTCCCTCGTGTCCCGTTACCTCTCGGATCCTCTTCTGCCATTCCTCAGTGAATTCAGGAGAGCTGGTGTTCACCTGGCTGGCATTGAGTGTCCACTCGGGACACTTCCAGGTGGGAAGGGAGAGCATGGCCAGGGAGGGAGCCAGAAAAGCAAACGTCCCTCCTTGGAGAATGGGCAGCCTGGAGGAGGGGAGAACACAGTCACCCCACAGTTCCTTTTTTTATTTATATTTTATTGATTTTTTACAGAGAGGAAGGGAGAGGGATAGAGAGTTAGAAACATCGATGAGAGAGAAACATCGATCAGCTGCCTCCTGCACACCCCCCACTGGGGATGTGCCTGCAACCCAGGTACATGCCCTTGACCGGAATCGAACCTGGGACCCTTGCGTCCGCAGGCTGACACTCTATCCACTGAGCCAAACCGGTCAGGGCACCCCACAGTTCTTTAGCACTGGTCTGTCACTGCCCAACGGGGGGCCTTTTAATCCCAAGTCCTAGGCAGGGTTAGAGGCAACACATGGTGCCCGCTGTCCTCCCTGTACAGGGAGTTCCTGCCAAGCCTCACTCAGACCCACGGACCCTGCCAAACTTCGGGCAGGTAGGAGAGGTGGGGAGGGGAAGGACAAGCAGACCTAAGGCCCATCTTGGAGATATAAGCCGGGAGCAGAGCGTCGGGCTTTGGGAAATAATTTGGAGACAGCACAGAGCTCAGCACACATGCTTAGTGGGTGCCATTATCTACCCTGTCCCAGCAGATCTTCCCCCGACCCCAGGACCAAAGCACAGCTCACACCACGACCAACAAGAGAGGCACAGCCTAACATCTCTGTCACAAGATTCCCTCTTGTCTCCAGAAATGAACCTCAATCCCAGACCTCTACCTTCAGGCTCCTTTCATCACGTGGACAGAATGGGTTTGAGGTCAATAATCAGGGCGTGCTCCCTGCCCAGACCCTTCTCCCTCCTGGTCGGCCTGTCACTCTGGCTGCTGTGGGGACTTCCAGCAGTGCCTCTTGGACTCCCCTTCGAGGAGCACACAGTCTGAGGGTCAGCCTCCAGCAATCCTCTCTCACTAGGTCACAGCCTATCAAGGCTAACCTAGTCTGCCCACCCTGGACAATCGAATTCAGGGGTGGGGACTGGAGCAAGGAACCCCAGTACTTGATCACATTTAACACTGTGGCACACCCAGTGCAGATGCTTTTTTTTAACACGAGAGGGGTGGGTTTTTTTGTGTGTTTTTGTTTTTGTTAAAATATATTTTTCATTGATTTCAGAGAGGAAAAGAGAGGGAGAGATAGAAACATCATTGAGAGTCATTGATCATTGATCAGCTGCCTCCTGCACGCTCCTTACTGGGGATCGAGCCTGCAACCCAGGCATGTGCCCTGTCCGGGAATCGAACCCATGACCTCCTGGTTCATAGGTCGACGTTCAACCACCGAGCTACACCAGCCGGGCTAGAGAAGTAGTTTTGAATTCAGGATTTTACTAGGATATCTTAAAGAATTATTCTGGAGAATGACTGGACACATTTTATGAAATGAAAATGTAGTTTATGAAAGAGCTTCGCTGTCTAAGTGGCCTTTGTATCCTGGTTGCGCGCTCGAATCAGCAAGGCCCGGTTCAGACGAGGCCGTGGGCTGTCTAGGACTGGGCCCAGGCATGGGGAGGGCAGAAGCCCTGGGTCATCTTAATGTGCAACTGATCTAGATTTATAAACTAGACCCATAAGGCTCCAGAGGAGAATGGAATACACTGAACACAGGGCAGGAATGTGCAGGTGGTGGTAGGGGTATCTGCGAATAACTTTTTAAAATTTAACAGCCATGAATCTAAGTACATTTTCATAATTAATTTCATTTCTACTATAATGGCAACCCCTGTTTTTAAAATTTTCCCATGAGTATGATTCACTACTCTTCTACTCTTTTGATTTTAATGCCTGTCTTGGAAACTATACACTGCTGCTTTAACAACATTTCAGAGCTAGGAGAGCCCTTTGGAACATATCCACGTGGCCTTGTCATGTTACAGATGGGAAAGGGCCCGAGGCCATGGACTTAACCAGGAGCTCTTGAGCCTCCTCACCCATCATCACTGCCCTATGACACTGTAATCAGGAGCGCGGAGTAGACCAAAGGCGAGTGTGAACCTGTTTCCACCTTATCAGCAGCATGACCTAGCCTGTTGCCCAGCTGCTGCAAGCCTCAGTGTCCTCTCTGATAAAATAAAGAGAAGGAGGAAGGCCATGGCAGGGGCTGCCTTCCCTGCTTGCTGCCCAAATCCAAAGTAGAACTTTAAGGATTCAGAGAATTCTATGTTCAAGCCTGGCCTTCCAGTTTGTGTGCTGGTTCTTTAAGAGAAACATGCAGATAAGAGGATCGACACCTACGTTATTTAAGAGTCTGTAAGCTTGCTTTATAACCCTGTGGTGTTTAAACAGGGAATGTGTGGGTCTTGCCAGTATTAGGGGCAGAAACAAGTGATGGATAAAAAGTCCTGGTGGCATTTGAGTCCCTGGTTCAATACATTCCTGATGCATGATGCACCCTGCCTTTCTCTTTGCTTGATCTTATAAATTAATAACAAATAAATTTTTGCTTGAGCTAATCTGAACTCATGTGTTGGAGCTAGGACCTGGATGAACCCAGGCTCTGACTGCTAGCCCTGTGCTCCCTCTGTCACGCCCCACCAGCTTCCTAACCACCTTTCTGACTGCAATCCAGGCACATGTTGCCGATACCTTGGCAGGTGAAAGTCAGAATCCACAGGGAGAAGATGTACCTACCTGACTCCAAAAAACACTTGCAGGAGCGTGCAGATGCCGGAGACGAAGAACATGGTGCTGATGAGGTAGCTCTGGGTGAGGGGGTCATGCTGCAGACACAGGCCCTTGGCCAGGATGAGCGGCACTGCCACGAGTCCCCCCAGGGCAGTGATGAAGTGCTGTGGACAGAGCAGAGAGAATAGACAGGCACTGTATGCGGTGGATGCCTGCTCCACCTCCGCTCTGACTTCTAGGCCAGAGGCGAGAGCTCCACCTCTAGTCTCAGAGGAATCTGGTCCTGAGTGACAGACAGGCAGAGATCCGGGCGAGCAGTGGGACCCAAAGAAGGCCTGGCAGCAAGAAGCAGGAAACTAGTCCAAAGATCTAGAGTTGAAAGGCAGGACCCTGGTGCCAGACACTGATACCCTGTGTAAGAAATCAAGGCAGGAACACAGCACAGGAGGACATACCAGGAACCAAGGAGGGAGCTTTAAGGACAAGGCAGGAGAACCAAGATGGCAGTATAGGTAAACGCCGGTACCCACTGCCTCCCACAACCACATCAAAATTACAATTAAAATACTGAACAACCATCAGTCAGAGCCGCCTGAAAGCTGGCTGAATGGGAGTCCTACAATTAGAGGAGTAAAGAAGAAAGCACACTGAGACTGGTCGGAGGGGCGGAGGTGCAAATGGGCTGGTCTGACACCCACATGTGCTGTTTTTATCAACTGGGAGGCATATTGGCTGCAGAGGCCTCCCACGAGGAGCAAGGGGTCCCAGCCCCACAGCAGACCCCCAGCCCAGGGTTTCAGAGCTGAGAAGAGAAGTTCCCGTAACTTCGGACTAAAAACCAGCGGGGATTGTGGCTGAGTGACACAGAGGCTGCTGACCAGGTGTTTCTCTTAAAGGGCTAGCACACAAACTTACTCAGACTCCATCCCTCTGAGCTCTAGTGCCAGGTGGCTTTGGGGGACCCAGGGACATATGGGGAGGAACTGGATTGTCTGGCATCAGGGCAGGAACTTGGGGGCAGCTTTCTCCCAGACAGAGGTGCTTGTGGGGGTCATTGTTCTGGTGCTGGAACCTCTCCCATCCCAGGCTGCCTTACAGCCATATCTGAGTCTCCATTAGCCTGGTTCATACTCTTCACTCCACCTGGTGATTCCCTGAGACCTGCCCCATCCAATTTGCAGCCCCACCCATGCTGTTTGCAGAGGCTTTTCCATTTGAATGGCCTGTCCTAGTTCAGGCTTCAGACTTTCCTAAAATCTCTCAAACAAGCAGCAGTTGGCATCAGTGTGCCCCCAACCTATCAATAAAAGGCGCAAGACCTGGCACTAGCACCAGCCTGCCTTGCTTCATGCCTGGGCACTTTCAAGCCCAATACAAGTAGCAGCCACCTGCAGACCTCTCTGTAGCTCCTACCAGGTAGCCCCAGGCAGTGACTGACTTTGCACCTCCTCGGAGGCCCTAGAGCCAGTGCACCCAGTGGTCAGCATCAGACCACACCAGATTACAACTCTACACATCCACAAGCAACATACTCAAGGGGCAAACTTAGTGAGCACTAAAGCCCCACTGAAGCAAGTCCTGCTCCATAGGGGTGTCTCCTGCACAGCAGTTCTTCCACTGTAATCACAGCTGGTCCTCACTGCCAATTGGCCTGGAGGTCAATTCCTTCCAGTGATGCTAACAGCAATCAAGGCTCAACTACAACATGACAGTACATATAGCCCACATAGGGGCACATCTAGAGTACCCAGCTCAGGTGATTGAAGAGGCTGAGCCACTGGGCTCTACAGGACACCTACTACACTTACCAATTCCAGGAGACATAGCAGCTCTACTTAATACATATAAACAAATACAGGGAAGCAGCCAAAATGCAGAGACAAAGAAACATGTCAAAATGAAAGAAATGGAAGCGAGCAAACTACTAGATACGAGTTCAAAACAATGGTTACAAGGTTGCTCAAGGATCTTAATGAGAGCTTCAAGGGAGTTAGTGAGACTTTCAAGGATCTTAGTGAGAATGTCAAAGACATGAAAAAGGACCAGTCAGAAATTAAGCATACACTAACTGAAATAAAGAATAATTTATAGGGAGTCTTTAGTAGAATAGAGGATTCTGAGAATCAAATCAACAATTTGGAATATGAGGAAGAAAAAACAGGCTGGAGTCAGCATGCCCCAAACCTATCAATAAAAGGCCCAAAATCCACACTAGCACCAGCCTCTGGAACAACTACAACCATACCAACATTCGCATTATGGGGGTGCCAGAAGGAGAAGAGAGAGGGCAAGGTATTAAAAACTTATTTGAAGAAATAATGACAGAAAACTTTCCCTACCTGGTCGAAGAAATAGACTTATAAGTCCAGGAAGCACAGAGAGTCCCAAACAAGAGGAACCCAAAGAGGCCCACACCAAGACACATCATAATTAAAATGCCAAGGGTTAAAGACAAAGAGAGAATCTTAAAAACAACAAGAGAAAAGCCGTTAGTTACCTATAAGGGAGCGCCCATATGACTGCCAGCTAATTTTGCAGAAGGAGGAGGAGGAGGAGGAGGAGGAGGAGGAAACAATAAAATGTAAATAAATACATATCTATCAACAATTAGAATCTAAAAAATCAAAATAAACAAACAAGAATTCGAATGAGCAAAATAAACTGGTGAATAAAACAGAATCAGAGGCATGGAAACATGGAACAGACTGACGATTCTCAGAGGGAAGGGGGAGGGAGGCAGGGAGAGATTAACCAAAGAATTTATATGCATATATGCATTACTTATGGACACAGACAATAGGGGGTGAAGGCTTGTGGCAGGACGGGAACTGGGTGGAGGAGGGCAATGGCGAAAAAAAGAGGGACATATGTAATACTCTCAACAATAAAGATTTAAAAGAAATAAAAATAAAATATATTTCCTCTAAAAAAAAGAACAAGAACAAGGTGAGAGGCTCATTATGAAAACAAGGCACAAGGTAGGGGCAAGACCATTGACCAGGAAGACCTGAACACATTCTCCAGAATAGATCCTATGTTGAGTCACAAAACAGCCATATCAAATTTAAGAAGATTGAAATCATGCCTGGCCACTGTGGCTCAGTGGTTGATTGTCAACCCATGAATCAACCCATGGTCAGGGTTTGATTCCTGGTCAGGGCACGTGCCCGGATTTCAGGTTCGATCCTCAGAGGGGGTGTGTAAGAGGCAGGCGATCAATAAGTCTCTCTTATCATTGATGTTTCTATCCCTCTCTCCCTCTTCTTTCCTCTCTCTGAAATAAATTAAAAAATATTTTTAAAAGAAGAAGATTGAAATCATACCTCAAAGGAACTAGAAAAAGAACAAACTCATCCCAAAATTAGCAGAAGGAAGGAAATAACAAAAAACAGAGCAAAAATAAAGAGGCCAAAAGAGCAATAGTAAAGATCAACCAAACTAAGAGGTGTATTTTTTAAAAGAAAACAAACCATTAGCTAGACTAAGAAAAAAAGAGACAATACAAAGAAATAAAATCAGATATGAAAGAGGAGCCATTACAACTGATAAAATAGAGACACAAAGTACTGCAAGACACAAATTGGATAAATTCATAGAAGCATACAACTTACCAAGACTGAGTCATGAAGAAATAGAAAACCTGAACAGACTGCTAACAAATGAGAAGTTTGAATCAGTAAACTTCCAACAAAAAAAAAAAAAGCCCAGAACCAGATGGTTTTACTAGTGAATTCTACCAAACATTTAAAGAAGAATTAACACCAATCCTTCTCTTCCAAAAAATTGAAGAAGAGGGAACACTCCCAAACTCATTTTATGAGGCCAGCATATATATAACCTGATACCAAAGCCAGATAAAGATACTATAAGAAAAGAAAACCATAGGCCAATATCCTTATGAATATAGATGCAAAAATTCTCAACAAAATACTAGCAAACGGAATTAAACAGTACATTAAAAAGACCAAGTGGGATTTATTCCTGGGATGCAAGGATGGTTCAACATACACAAATCAATAAATATGATACACTATATTAATAAAATAAAGGCTAAAAATCATATGATCATTTCAATAGATGCAATAAAAGCATTTTACAAAATTCAACATCCTTTCATGATAATATACCTAAATTAACCATTTTGTTGGCTTATGATATTTAAAAAACAGTATGACAGCCCTAGCCTGTTTGGTTCATTGGATAGAGCATTGGCCTGTGGACTGCATGGTCCCAGGTTCAATTCTGGTCAAGGGCACCCACCTTGGTTGCAGGCTCCCCACCATGGTCGGGGTGTGCGGGAGGCAACCTATCGATGTGTCTCTCACATGGTATTTCTTTCTGTCTCTCCCTCTTCCTTCCACTCTCTCTAAAAATCAATGGAAAAAATGTCCTCAGGCGAGGATTAAAAAACAAAACAGTATGACATTTACTCTTCTTATTTTATAGAAAAGCACAAAGAAGCAAACAAAAATGTATATCCCATCCCCAATATGCCACATGGAGTTTGTAAAAATTAAAAGAAACACATATATGAGATTAGAAAACCCATGCAATCAAAAGTTTCAAAATAAAAAGTGAAAGTTGAAAGCTACAGTTAAATATCTTTGTTAGTTTCTTATGAATCCTTCAAAGCATACAAAATTACTACATATACTTATTTCTATCATCCTCTTTATCACACTATGCACAGTTATTTACTTTGCTCTTTTCACTTAATATATCTAGGAGAACATTCCCCAACCTCAGAGTAAATACATATTTCTCTTTTTAACAGCTGCATAAAAACGTCATTTGTTAGATTATGTCACAAATTATTTAACCGGTTTCCTATGATGGACATTTTGTGTGCTTATTGTGTGATTTTGGTCTTACTATTACCAATAATGCTAGAAGTACATCTTTGTATTTATCTTAACGAGTCTAATAAGCATATCCTCAGAGAAATTCTAACATCTCGGGGCCTGGGTTAAAAGGGTATATGCATATTACGTGTTAATAGAAATCACCAAATTGTCATCTAGAAAGGTCGTACCAAAGAACATTCCAACAAAAGTGCTTGCTTTTCAAAATTTCCCAGGCATTGGTTATCACAATTTTTAGTTGTTGCCAATCAAATAAATTAAAAGTAGTACCTTTACAAAACAACAACAACAAAAGCACACCACAACGTCCCAGTCATTGTCTTTAGAGAAAGAGCCTCCCCTTAGTTCCCTCCCCCACCCCAAGAAGCCTGAGTTCCCTTGGAGGTCAGCTACAAGGAAGACAAGCATATCCACAACTGAAGTGTGGATCTTGACTAATTGGACCTGGGTGCGTACTGCTGTGGCTTTTGAGGCAGAGCCTCTTCGGACCCAGTGCTCGCTGGGTGGCATTACCTGGATCCCCAAGATGATGCAGAGATACCACGGTGGAATGTCCAGGATGCCATAGGCCAGGTCGCTGCTGTTGGGACTCCTGTGCTGACCATCCTTCTTCCTGCCTTGGCCATCATCATAGAAGGTGAGCACGCCATCACCCTTCTGCTGGGAACAAGACAAGGACACACCTGGGCGTTTCCAGAGGAATCAAGTGGACTTCCTGATTTCAACCATACAGATGGATGGCTTCCAGAGGCCAGAGGCACGAGACAGGGGTAACTGTTGGCCAGCTGGGGATTTCTAGGTCCAAACTCAAAAGGCCAAGCGTTTTCTACATTGCACCTCGCAGCAGGGCCTCCATGCGAAGTCTGGGGCCATGCAAAAGGAGTGGATGCCGAGCCAAAGCCCTGGCAGAGAAGCAGCTTTGTGCAGGAAGGGATGGGGTCAATGCCAAGGTCAGAACGTGGGCATGTTTTTCTCCCAACCAGTCAGGAAAAGGGGGATCCTGGTCCCGGAATGGTGTAGCTGCTCCAGGCCATGTGTTGACGTCGGCCAAAGCCCTCATCACAGCACGTTTATTATAATGAGCGGTTTTCTCGTGCATCTCTTCTGCTGGGCTGTGAGGTCCTAGAATGCATCGATTGTGCCCTTGGCCTCCCATGTGCGCCTGAGATTGAGCTCACAGGGCTGCGGCGGGCGCAGTTGTGTGTGTTCCACCAGCGAGCTCACCTCCCGCCCTCTCCCAGGACCTCTCAGAATTCTCAAGGTGATGGAGAAGGAAACATGGGGGGAACTGTTGGCTCTGGACCTTCTTGTCTTTTTTCCTATTGAGAGACAAGGACTCAAAGACTGTTCTCAGCATGATGACCTCTGAATAGGTTGTCTCCATATCAACTAGGACCATCTAAAGCAGCGGTTCTCAACCTATGGGTCGCGACCCCTTTGGGGGTCGAATGACCCTTTCACAGGGGTCGCCTAAGACCATCGGAAAACACATATATAATTACATTACGATTCATAACAGTAGCAAAATTACAGTTATGAAGTAGCAACGAAAATAATTTTATGGTTGGGGGTCACCACAACATGAGGAACTGTATTTAAAGGGCCAGAAGGTTGAGAACCACGGCTCTAAAGGTTATGGCAACCACTTCTACATGTGCTTTAAAACAATGCCTGGGAAACTGACCTTGCATGAGGTTCCAAATAAGAAAAACCACGGGCTTGGGGGGGGGGGGGGGGGGGGGGGGGGAGAAGAATGTGTCTCCCTTGAAAGCAGCTGGTTCTTTCTGTCTAAGAAGAGTATGTGACTCTCTGAAGCCCATGAGTCATGGCTGGAAAGCACAGAGCCCAGTCAAAATATGACTTTTTTGTTGTTAACTACCTCACGGCACTTATGGAAGAGATGGGGCAAACAAGCAACAACGAAGACAAATACGCGGTGTGCCTGAATGTTCCTGTGCGTCAGAAAGGGATCTTTAGCACACTGAAGACCCACACAGAAACCAGTGATATTCCAGAGACATTTGAGAGCAGGGCTTCTCCAATGAAGGTGGAAGATCCCAATATGGGGAGTACCTGTATCCCTGGAGAACCCCCTGCTGGGGAGAAGGCTGTGCATGTGACTCACACAACTGCAGGAAAAAGCTTGGGAACCCCTTTTCGGACGGAGAATGAATTCTTAATGGAGCGACCCCTGCTGGTGAGCACTGGTATGAGAAGAGGGGCCACACCTCTTTGGGGTGGAGCTGAGTTTACCAACTCAGCACATGGGCTGTCATTTCACCGAAAGAAGCATTCTGGTGCGGCCTGCCACTGTGTGGTGCTTCCCGGTGTACAGGGAGCTTCCGAGCAGCCTCTCATTTGATTCTCACCCTCATCTTACCACTCCCCGATTCACAGGTGAGGAAACGGAGGCTCAGGGAGGTGGTCCGAGACCCCATTGTGAATGGGAGAAGGGCACCCTCCTCTCGGCGTCGAGGGCCGTCCCTGCAGGCGTCTCCCTTGTGCAGAGAGGGAGGGCCAGCCCTCCAGCTCCCTGGGGCAGAGCCGGAGGAGCCGGGTGCAGGGGCAGCCGCCGTGGAAAGGGGGTGATCTGGGGGGAAGACGGGTCACTTTCTCTCTGACTCCATCCGTACGCACAGCCTCCCATCCCGCACTCCACCCTCCAGGCTCATTTCCCACCACTCCCACTCACCTGGCTGCAGCCCATGGGACGGCCCAGGTCTCTCCAAATGAGGCCTCCGTTTTCCTGCACCCAAGGGCTCGATGTCTCCTCCTCCATCACCTCTCCCCAAGCCCCACCCTGTGTGAGTTTCCTGCCTCGGACTCCTGGCACATTTTGTCTCCCTGTCCTGTAATTAACCGTTTTCTCCCCTAAAGTAGAAATAGTTCTGTGTACCCCGCTTTCCCCTAGTTAAGCCATAAGCTTGCAAGGTCGGGAAGCTATCTTCCCGTGTGTATAGCCCTAGAAGTTTCTAGCAGAGCAACAGACTAGTACAAGTGAAAACCACACGCATCCCAGAACAGCGCCTTCCCTCATGTGGGTGCTGAAGTTGAGGCTTTGAGGAAAATGAACATAAAACATGATCGGGCCACTCAAAGGAGACGGATACGTGCCCAGGCCCCTCCACACACCCACTGGCCCAGGTAAGCCCAAAATTTGGCCAACATCACAGCCTTCAGAAAAGGGAGTCTTCTCTCACTTAAGATTTGTTTTGTTTCGGGGTTTTTTAAAAATATATTTTATTGATTTTTTTACAGAGAGGAAGGGAGAGGGATAGAGAGTCAGAAACATCGATGAGAGAGAGAAACATCGATCAGCTGCCTCATGCACACCCCCTACTGGGGATGTGCCCTCAACCAAGGTACATGCCCTTGACTGGAATCGAAC